TTTGCCACGTAATAAAATTAAAACCATCAGTGCACAATTTTCCACAATCTGTCAAGCACATCTTACCAGCAAACATACACACATACACTTCCTTCTCTTCATTCTCTGAGGCAGAAGTCTCCAAACTCATCATTTCTAATCATCCTACTACTTGTCCTCTTGATCCTATTCCATCTCATCTCCTTCAAGCCATTTCTCCTGCAGTTATACCTGCACTCATTCACATCATTAACACATCCCTTCACACTGCTGTTTTTCCCTTAGCATTTAGACAGGCTCATATAACCCCTCTACTTAAGAAACCCACCCTTTAACCCATCTCTTTTAGAGGACTACAGACCGTTTTCCCTTCTTCCTTTCATTGCAAAAACACTTGAATGAGCTGTGTTCAACCAAGTCTTTGCCTTTCTCACACAGAACAACCTCCTCGACAGCATAAAAGCTATATAAATATTATATATTAATATAAAATATTCATTTCTTGTCTCAGTGTTTAGCGCAGTTATCGTTGCTAGGAAACGCTTGTTTTGTTTACTGTGTTGAGATGTGCTGAAGCTGCGTTTGGTCTCGTACTGTATCGCATACCTTGTCAGTGTCGTGCACTTGCTTAGCCCTTTGTTGTGATAAACAGTAAAGTGTGTTCAGCTGAATTCAATTTCCGTTTTGTCAAATGGGTATAAAAAAAAAGGATAGTACACCGCGGCAGCCCTCGTGTGAAGGCCTCCTCGTGTGAAGACCGAAGAGTGTAAAGACCATCGACTCTACCGTGCGACTCACAAATCAGGCAACCAACTGGACCTTATTTACACACTACACTGCTCCACTGATCATGTACTGGTTACTCCACTGCACACCTCGGATCACTTCCTCCTCACTCTCAACCTCAACATGGTTCCTGACACAACACATACCCCTCCACATGTCATCTTTCGAGGTAACCTACACTCACTCTCACCTTCCCAGCTATCTGCTATGGTTTCATCTTTGCTTCCTCCCCCTAAACAGTTATCATCTCTTGATGCTAAGAGTGTTACTGATACTTTCTGCTCCACTCTTACATCTTGTTTAGACACTGTCTGCCCCTTGTCTTTCAGGCCAGCCCGTACCACCCCTTCTGCCCCTTGGCTATCTGATGTTCTCCGCGAGTATCATTCAAAGCTCAGGGCTGCTGAAAGGCTGTGGCGCAAATCAAAAAATACTACTGACCTTAATGTGTATCAGTCACTCCTCTCTTCCTTCTCTGCTAATGTCTCCACTGCTAAAAGAACATTCTATCATAACAAAATTAACAATTCGTCTAACTCTCGCATGCTCTTTAAAACATTTTCCTCCCTCCTTTGTCCTCCTCCTCCACCTCCATCAACTCTAACAGCTGTCGACTTTGCCACGTTCTTCATTAATAAAATTAAAACCATCAGTGCACAATTTTCCACAATCTGTCAAGCACATCTTACCAGCAAACATACACTCGTTCACATCCTTCTCTTCATTCTCTGAGGCAGAAGTCTCCAAACTCATCATTTCTAATCATCCTACTACTTGTCCTCTTGATCCTATTCCATCTCATCTCCTTCAAGCCATTTCTCCTGCAGTTATACCTGCACTCATTCACATCATTAACACATCCCTTCACACTG